GGTTCATGAGCTGAGATAAGGACCAAGAGAGATCACTCACTGAAAACCATTGTGGGCAAAACAGGCTCATCTTGGGTATAATAATTGAATTTATTACCAACAAAATCAAAATAATAAGATAATATAAGGATAATAAGAAGTAAAATAAATCTTAAAAACATTTTTCCCCCACCCCTCCCTACTTCCCAAGCTCTACCTCTTCCTCCCTTAGCAGTGCAGGGAGACAGGGAATAGGGGTTATGGTTGGTTCATCATATGTTCCTACCACTGCTCAGGGTGCAGTCCTTCAGGCACAGGCTGCTCCACTGTGGGTTCCCCACAGGGTCCCAAGTTCTACCGGGAAATCTGCTCCAGTGTGGAGTCCTCTCTCTAGAGGTCAGCAGGTCCTGCCAGGAGCCTGCTCCAGCATGGGCTTCCCATGGGTTCACAGCCTCCTTTCAGGCATCCACCTGCTCTGGCGTGGGTCTCCTCCATGGGCTGCAGGTGGGTCTCTTCATTGCCATGGTCCTCCTTGGCCTGGAGGGACACAGCTGCTTCGCCACGGTCTACACTATGGACTGCAGGGGAATCTCAGCTTCAGTGCCTGGAGCACCTCCTCCCATTCTTCTTCACTGAGACCTTGGTGTCTGCATAGTTGTTCCTTTCACATATTCTCACTCTGCTCTTCTCTGGCTGCAATTACATCTGCGCAATATATATATATATATATATTTTTCCCTTCTAAATATGTTTTAACAGACTCATTACCATCATTCCTGATTGGCTCAGCTTTGACCAGTGGTGTGTCTGTCTTGGAGCCACCTGGTGTTGGCTCTGCTGGACATGGAGGAAGCTTCTTGCTGCTTCTCACAGAAGCCACTCCTGTACCTCCCTGCTACCAAAACCTGGCCATGCAAACCAAATACAACCCTTAGTAAATTCATGTAGGTTGTTCCCACGCACTCACCTGTCCTTCATATGACTCAAAATACTTTCCAAGAGGACTCAGCCTAGAATTCTCCCAGGGATAGAAGTGCAACTGACTGATCTGTAGCAGTTAGATTATCAAGCAAATATGATTGTATGTCAGTGTTAATTCAAGAGGTGTGAATTTAGATGCTTTCAGTTTTACATCTTGATTGCATTAATGAAAGAATAGCTAAAGATTTGGCTAGAGTATCTCGTATACTGGATAACAAGCCCACAATCAATAATTCACCTAATTAATGTAATTTCCTCTGTTTTGCCAACAGTCCTTGATTTTCTCAAGTACAAATGTATGCTCTGTGGCACATTTTCCTATAGATTTTATACAGATATATATTGACTATCAGTAACATGAGTGGCAGCAGACCTGCAAATGGCTCTGCGTATTTCACAAGAATCTTTTCTATCTTGAACAGTGCAAATAAATATGTTACTGTATGTGTCACATGTACTATGCATACTGTTCTATATTATATTCTTATCACTACAATAACTAATTTAAAGTAATGCAAGCATGATTTATGAAAGGTGTTATTTCTGACAAAATGGTTTGATTCCTCTTTGGATCCTTATTACTGATTGCTTGTGAATTTGCTGTTTCTGGAAGGGAGTAACGTAGTCCATCTGTATATTGACATTTTCTGATGAAAATACACGAAGTATAAAATTACTATGAAGAAAGATGTTTTCACTATATTCCCTTTTGTCTACAAAAACCATCATATAGCATAAAAATTTCCTTAGTTATATGAATAAAGTTTTGAGAAGATTAATTTTTTCTTTAACAAAGTCCATGAACTACATTTGTTTCTGACAACCATATATTCTGAAACAGGTTTTCTTTATATATAGCTTGCTGTTACCTCAACTGATTTCACATGGAGTCAGACTACTTTTCAACAGTTTGTACCTGTGACTTCGTACAGTCATGACACCACTGAAGTCAGATTTGTAAGCCTGAACCCCGTTTCTTTCAAAACCACTAACATACAGTAACTGCAGATGACTGATACTGTTGCAATGTCTTAAAAGCAAATAAAAAGTACTGGAGACTGAAAATTATTTTTGCTGTTAAGGTTCTTGAGTTTGGTGCTTTTTCCTTTCATGAATCATATCAAAATTTAGGGTCCCAAGTTCATCATAGTTTTATTAAATGAGCATCTTAAAGTCATGCTCAGCAACAAAATTCATTTAAATATCTAAACACAGATCTAAGTATATAGCATAATAAATTTAATATTTAAAATTCTGGCTGTGGTTTCTAGACATCTGTTATTTTCTTTTCTGTGAGGGAGTGAGCTTTTAAGAGACAAACTTTTTGCATAATCTGTTTATGGTAGGAACTTGATTAAAGGAGGAGAGGACAGGAGCATACACAATTTGGGAAGCATCCTGCTTCTGGAAGAGGATGATGAAGCTTTGTATTGAAACCAGAACAAAGCTGCTTACACGAACGTGTCACTCACAAACAATTGCATTGAGCTCTGTGCTGAGGAAGCTTTTAGACATTAACCATAATCCATCCATCCCCATCCTCTACCTATTCTCAAAACTGCACATAATGCAACAATGTTTCTAAAGCTAGGCATGGGGGTAGCAATCTCCTAAGTATTTTCCAGTGGAAAAAAAAGTCCTAATGTTAGAATCCTTCAGTTTGACATCTTTATATTGATCTTTCACAGCTCAGCCAAGCAATACAGGGTGGCTTTGGCCTCTATTGAGGGTTGCTGCTTTTCTAAGGCAAATGAAATGTTTAGTGAAGGGGTTAACTTTCCTTCTTGTGTCATAAGACCTTCAAATTTAACTTTGGAGTTTTAAAGCTACAAATGTCATTGGAGTTGTCATCCCACGCTATACATGAACTTGAGGGACCTTTCCATTTCAATAGGAACTGAAGTTGAACACTGTTCTACTATGCAGCAGAAGAGAACAGTAAAGGCCCAACTGAAGTAAGTATATGGAAGTTATGCACAACATAAAAATATGTATTTTTAATTGTGAACATAATCTTTGGTAGGAATTTTCTTTTTTTATATGACCTTGTGCTTGACCTTTTATATGACCTGAGAGTGCTTGAAAGTGATTTTTAAGGCAATAGGGTCATTCAAAATCAGTCCACTCTCCCTCAAACCACTAGATCAAACATTTTATTGCAAGGCCTATTAAATTTTTGTGTTGTATTGGAATGATTGATCACAATTAAGTATCTACTCCCTGTATTTCAGGGTTTTGATCCATATTTAGTAACTTGTGGTTGAAATATACTGGGACTAAATTCCTTCCCTGGGAGAAAAAGAACCTCTTGAAATCAGCGTTTTAAAGGGAAAGCTATATATTAAACATAGGGGACTAAAGCCAAGTACTTGACATGTGCTACTATGAAGCTGCTGTTTGGAAAGATATTTATAAGGTTGACTACTGGATGAGAATTTAAAGTCTAATGTCTGTGATACTACATCTCTGAGAACACATTATTCCAAAGTTCCAGAAAAATTGTTGTTTCTTTTGGTTTTGTGAGCATATGAGGAGAGTGGAATGCATTGATTTAAACAGGTTTTGAGCTTATTAGAGACCATCAAAACTATATCAAAATGAAATTTTAGTTATGAGTGCCTTTATATCAGTGTATGTTATAAATATGTATTTGTTGCACCACATAACATAAAGTTGGAAGAAGGAAGAATGGATAGAGGTACAAAAGAAACAAAAAACGCTGGTAAATGTTTTTTATTTTCAAGCTTCTATAGATTTATTATATAAAATTATTAGCATTTATAAAATAAAATTTTATTTATTATATAAAATTATTATCACTGCTAAATCTCACCTAGATTGCCTGAAACACCCTTCAAAGCTGAAGTATTTTAGTGCCATATTCCAACAAAGTTAATTTAAACGGGAATTAATAGTCACTATAATTAACCAAACCATCAGATTCACAACTGATGTTCTGAGGCTAATCCGGCCACTCAAGACTCGGTTAAGATAGAAGTTTGGCAGTGTTACTACTGCTTAGAAATCTCTCAGTGTCTCAGAGAAATTTCTTATGGTCAAGACAAATTGCCATTAAACACCCTGGGAATCTGTCACTGAAAGTTTGATCAGCTCCGTTGTTCCCCAAGTGGGAGGCACTGGCACAAAGATATCAATTTCCATGCCATTGTTGCTCGGGTTGCTCTTCTATTTCTTTTCCGAGTAAACCTGCTGAGGTGTTGCTACCCACAGAGAGGTTCCGAAACAGGTGTTGGAGGAAAGGGGGGGCACAGGGCAGCATTCCGAGCAGCGAGGTTCGCGAAGGTCTCTCGGCAGGGACGGCCGGATGGAGGCTGGCGAGCGGGGCACAGCGTGTAGCTGCTGAAAGTGGCTCCCGGGCGCGGAGCCGGGCACTGGGCTGGCCTTGTCGGGGGCCGGCGGCTGCTGGGGACCTGCCGGAGCCGTGGCAGCAGGGGCGCAGCCTCTCCTGGCCCCTCGAGCCGCGGGCTCCGGCGGCGCAGCGCCCGCGCACCTGCCTGGGAGCGGCTCCGCGGCCGCCGCTCCTGCCGCGGGGCGCAGGTACGCGCGGGGCCGCCGTGCAGGTGCGCACCGCCGGCCGCGCCCGGCCCCTCTGTGCCCGGCCCCTCCGTGTCCCGCGACTGCGCGGGGGCGGCCGCGGCCACAGCCCCGCTGCCTGGCAGCCCGGGGCGGTCGCCACCTGCGGAGAGACCCGGTAAACTTTGGGTAAGTGTTGCGCGGGCGTAGCGCCTATGCGCGCCCTGGAGCGGGTGGAGAAGGAGAACGGAGCTCTGCGGAGCGGTGCGCTGCTCCTGCCGCATCGCCGCCCCGACGCGGAGTGGCCGCGGGGCCGCGGGGTAGGCGGGCGGCGCCCGGGGGATGCGGGCGCCGGACAACAGGTACCGCAGCTGCGCGGGGGGCGGGAGGGGCCGCGGGAGGGGTGTCTCTGTGTGTGTGAGTGAGTGTGTGTCGCTTCTCCCCTCCCCCCTGCTGCCCGACCGGGAAGGGGGTGGGAGATGTGCTGGCGCACCGCCGCTTAAAACCGCGCGGCCCGGAGGCGGCTGCCTGTTCCCGGGAACAGGGCGGCTGCGGGGTCCGCGCTGTGCCGCGGAGGGCGGCGAGAAGCGGGGCAGAGGGCGGCGGTGACCCCGCGGGGCCGGGCCGGGAGCGCTGGGCTGCGGCAGCCAGCGGCGGGGCGGGGCGGGGGGCTGGCGGCGGTGTCGCCGCCGTCGCTGGCGGTGGCCCGGCTGGATGGCCGGTCCCGCGGCTGCCCAGGGCGCCGGGCTCGCTCGTATCGCAGGGCCGCGCGTCCCTCCGCCCGCATCGCACTGCAGTAAGTTCGCGAGTCGCTGGTCGGCCGAAGTGGTCGCAGCCGCGGAACTGGGAGGGGGGTCCGTGGTGCGCGGGTGTGTGTCTGGGCGTAGTGAAGGGGCTAGACTGAAAGTTGTAGCTAACCGTGCCGTATTGAATTTGTCACGACGTGTCGCTTAGATTTCTTGTTGCTGCCAATTTGCCTCGTTGACCTACATCACTTTGCTCAACCCCAGCCAATGTCCTGATGCTGCCCCTGATAGCCGGGTTCAAAACGGTGAAGTGTGAGGCATCCAGTGTGGATGTGAACAGAACGAGGGCAGGAAACAAAAGATGCAACTAAAAACTTACGCTTTAAAGGCTGGTCTTCTTAAACTTATTCTTTTTTTTTTTTTTTTTGGTGAGTGCATTGTGAGTATCCTGCTTTGGAAATGGATTAAAGGTTTTTTTTTCAGCAGATTACTGTATTACAGGTATTTTTTTTCCTCCCTAGCTGAACAAGCACGTTGTAGGTCTTCAGTTCTTCATTCTGTTTGACTGTTTTTCTACAAATTTAGTGAAAACTTTATTATTTTTCAAAAGCATTTTTATCTGGTTGATGTAGGTTTAGAAAGACGATGGAAAACTTATACAATCCTACCATAAAATAAAAAGGCAGTGCAACAGGGTGGGGAAAACCAGTAATTGTAGCAGGAGAAATAGTCTTTTTAAGTTTTCATAAAAGGCACTCAAAATTTCCTACTCCCATTTAGGTCAAATAACCTAAGGTAGCAAGGTAATAATTGCTCTTTGCACTTGAATGGTATGATGCACGTATTTAGAAAGTCATTATACATCCGGAAAAAAATCCATACCAAGAACCTAATGTGCATTCCCAAATGACTGGACTTGTGCTATGCTTTATGGATAAAATGACAGGAAATAAGTCCCTTGTTTTTCCCCAAAGTGGTAATCTGGTATTGCTCAGAGCCTGAAATGCCTGTCTGGTAGAGAAGGAAAACAAGCATCAAGAAACATGGGGCATCACGAAGCAACAGTTTCCTCCAGGGGCTTATGTCATCTCTTGTTCATTTGTCAAGTTAGAAGGACTTCATTATATATCATGGTAGAGGAGGCCTGGAACAATTATTCAACAGTCTGAAATGGTTTTGGAGTGATATGTGTTATGCTATGGATTTGAAATATTTGGGTCCAGTTGTGTTTAATCTAATTTAGGTGCCTGCAAACAACAGAAGTTGCTACTCTTAAGCAGGTTTAGGAAAAATTATGCTTTCTGTGTTTGTTTAGGAAGAAGGAATATATATGAATTGTTACTTTCAAGCTCCAATCATCTTTTCTAAACACCTTTAGGTGTCTTGAACATTCAAGGAACAGTGTTCAGTAGCAATACATGAATGAAGAGATATTTTTTAAGCCTTTATACAGTTTGAAAATAATAAAGTTAATAATTGTTTTGAAGAGCACTAGACGTCAGTTTTTTACTTAGAAGGAGGTTCTGCACTGTTTCTGCTCTGGAACTAAGTGTCATTTAGGTACCACTTTATGGGACAGGTCTAGGTACCTCTTGCAAATGGAATGAGATCACAGAAACAGGAATAAAGAGGAAGATAAGAGTTGTAAGAAACCTGTTAGAGCAGCATTTCGATAAAGCAGGGTGTGAATAGCACACCTCAGAGTTAATACTGGAAAATTTCAATCATTTGGCTGGATAGCTGGACTGGACTTCTTTTGCTTTGTGTGCGTGTATGACAGCAGCACTGAGTTCTTGTGAATGGTACATATAGAATGAAAGATAATGGTTTGAAGTCATGCTTCATATTAAATGTAATAAAAATTAACAGCATATAGGATAGAATCATAGAATATCTCAAGTTTTAAATGACCCATAAGGATCTTAGAGTCCAACTCTCTGCTCCTCACAGGACTACCTAAAACTAAACTATATGACTATGATCATTGTCCAAACGCTCCTTGAGTATAGATGATATATGATGTTTAATTTTCTTTGAATTGTTATGATCTTTATTAGATCATTGATAAACTAAGCCTTCTGCATACACTTTTAACAAGTCTTTTAAAGCCTGGATTATTTCTGGTGTTTCCTTGGTTAAAGTTAACTTTGTTGCAAAGAGCACTTTACATTATCTTTATATTCAGTGTATCTTCTCATCTTGTGTAATGGTAGGAGTTGTGGATCCATGTAAAAAGTGTATGATGAAACATTCCCATCTGTATCTGGAATTCTGGAAGAGTGGCAACAATCAGAAGGGTTACAGAAACAACAGGTCTTGTTTTGTTGTTTGATGTGAGGGAGCAAAAGAATTTCAGCCAGACTTTTACCTGTGGAAAGGTCAAGGTACTTGTGAAGGACACTGATGTTTATTTTAAAGTCATGATAGAGCTCTCTCAGTGAAATCTGGGAGACATCAACAGAGTGCAGTGCTGTTGAAGAACAGGATGCTGGCCTCCTGAAATCATTATTCCAACTCCCTAGTTCTTGTTTTTATCAAGTAAAGTTTGCAAGCTGCTTCAGGAGTTCCCAACTGAGCTTTGCAGTACTGACTAAAGTAAAAAATAAATCAAAATGTACTGGGCCTTGCTCTGAATGTCATTTCCAATTTTTTTACGCTTGTGCAGAATAAGTTTTAGGTCTTATTCTGAAGGAATTTTAGCATTTCACAGCCAGTTCAGTCAATAAGAGATGGTATAAAAGGTTAAAAAAATCTTTCTGTGACAACAATTCCACATAAAGGATCTCTTGACCTTCAGTAGAGTTTCTTCAGGGAGTCCATTGTTTCCTGTGGCACTTGCAAAATAATTAGTAACAGTAGTAGTAGACTTAGGGCAATTACTTGTCCAGAATTTTAGTTTTTCATTGCAGTATTTTATTAATAATTTTCTCTTTGGGGACTACTTTTATAGCTAAACCAGCAAATTCACAGTACTTCAGGAAAGCTGAAGAAGTGACATACTGAGTCTCACTGAGAAGAGTTTGATGTTTTTATTTATTCTTAATACCTTGTCTAAAAGAGTGAAAAAAGTTATAAATTTGAAACTGGTATCTTCAGTTTGTCAACCTGACCCAGTTTTCTTGACACTAATAATGCTCTTCGTATGGGTAGAAACAATCTGATGCAGGTAAGGTATTTTGGCTAATTTGGGAAGTTGAGAAGTAAATATTTATATATTTAGTTGGAATTGAGATGAGTAACTGTCCCCAAACACCCTGTAAAACAGCTTTAAGCAATGTAGAACACATTTTCTTTTTTAATTGTTTCTGAAGAAAATAGAAAATTTCTCTGAATAATGTTTGCAGCAGTCTAGCCCTGGGGGGATATAGTTAGTTTGCCACAAGTTTAAAAGCCTAACAAATGTAAGTATTTGGAGGCTGTTTAATTATTTCTTGTCCAACCCCTTAACACAAGTTTGGAATGTAAATGTACAACTCTGATGCTATTGTTTTGCCCTGAAAAATAAAACAAAGACAAGCAAAGTTTTAGACATGTTTGTCAGTACAGTGTTACTAATTAGACTTCCAGTCATGGAGATCAGTTAGCTTTTTATTTTTAGATAATGTTTGTTGTTTACCATAGTAAACCATAACTAAAATGACATCTAGCTGCTTCTTTCTTGTCTGCTAGAGATTTTATGAATGGACCTTTTCTTATGCTGGCAGGAATATTTAGTTAGTACAAATGCATGAATTATTTAATTTTTTTTTAGTTGGATTTTCATCCACGTTTTGGTTACTTGGTTTGAAATTGTTGTGATTTTTTTATTAGACATACAATGAGATGTCTAGTGTTCAGTAATTGTAATAACTAGCTCATTCTCTAGTCCATGCAGTAGGATCAATCTCAACAAATATGCAGTGCAAATTTTCGTGTTCAGTAATTGTAATAACTAGCTCATTCTCTAGTCCATGCAGTAGGATCAATCTCAACAGATATGCAGTGCAAATTTTCGTGAAAGTTTATGTTGCACTACGTACATGGAACTCTGTGAGCCTTCTGCTATGACGTGCTTTACTTCCCTTTTGAGTTGCCTTGTGGAATATTATGAAGCATTCCACTGTAGTGGTGGTTTAGTCAGGGAATGTGGAGAACTCACACAGTTAATAGAAACTTGATTCTCGTTTCCTTTGTCTTTTAAAGCATATTGAGTCAAGTAAAAGCAGCTAGTCAAATTTATTCTCTTCAGTCTAAGTTTGTTATCAGGTGGACAGGTCTGATGTTTACACTGGTTTGAGTTTGGAAATTACATGAAATCATTCCTAAGCACTGTTGAAGTATATGTGACTTTTTCATGCAATTACATATTTATATGTTCGTGGTCTTAGAGGGTTGACAAGCTAAATTTAAGTAAAATAGAGAAATGGCAAATAGTAAGGCAGCTGTATCAACCTTGGAAAGAATCACAGATGGTGTGAAGTCAGTAAATTTTCTTGTCTTGTCTTCTGAATGGAGAAGTAGTGTTTTCTTGTAAATCTAGATTGTAGAGATTATGGTCTAGAAATAAGCAGTATGAACCACTGCATCCCAAGACTCAAGAGTCCGCTGCTTTTTTTCCAATGGCATCTTTTGCCTCTTTAATTGTGGATTTTCCCATGTTTCCTGCATGAACTTATGAATTAATCAATTGAATGGGAGGTAATATTATGCCAGAAATAGATTTTAAGAAGGGATTAAGGAAAAAAAGAGACAGAAAGAAAAAAAGAGAATATTTAATAGCTAAAAAATCATACTGAAGTAGATGAAAACTAAAAAATATGTGAGTACAGGCAGGAATGAATTAAGCAAGCAAAAGGAAGTTTAATGCTTACCATTAGTTTTTGGTTTTGTTTTGGTTTTTTGTTTGTTTGTTTTTTTCCCCAAGGCTAGTCTTCAATGAAAGTTTTTCCTCTAAAATTTAAAAGAACCTGAGCTAGTGAATTCTGGGAAAAGGTTTTAGGATTAGAAATGTAAAACTTGGATTAATCTTCTTTATGTAACCAGACTGCTGCTTCTTTACATCCCTAGATTT